CTCAGTTGTTAAGAGCGGTGGTCTGTTGTGCCGGACCAAAAACTCATGGTTAGACCTTCAAGTCTGCTCGGACAAGGCCTTTAAACCATAGCGGCCCTGTCTCCCAACCCTTCCTAACCTATAGTAAATGGGGGACAAAAAAAGAAACACTATTGTACTAACAAATCACTCATGACTGTAAGCTGCATGGCTGCTAATAGCGCCTTAATATGCAGCCCGTAAAGTCCTCCAATGGTCATAAAATGTAAAATAAAATAGATAAAGGGAGGAACCGAGGCTCGCCAAGCCCACCCTTACCTCTGCTCATGAATAACGCTTGCTTTTAAATTGCCTTTACCTTAATTACCAGATACATATCAGATAAGGCTGCYGTACAGAGACTTAGGAGGACATTCRCTGGCCTTTATTCTCTAGATGAGGTAAGACATCTTCTATAGTCATGCATTCATCAGTGGGAGACCGAGTCTTTAAGAGTGTTATAAGATAAATAAAAGTTGTCTTTCACTTTAAATCTCTAAACTTTATTGGACGTTTCGGCTTCGMAACCTGGAACCTTCATCAGCAAGATATCGTTATGCTTAATGGCGTCCAAAATATATTTATTAACAGTCAAACTCTGTAAAAAATAGGAAARTTATTACTTTGACTGACGATAAAATAGCTTAAATATGTTAAGTCAAAGATAGACAAGTTTTAGCGGGTCTCCCGCGCGGGCCGAAAGACCATCGAGTTGATTTTTCATGGCTTGGCTGACGTCACTTCCGTCCGTACGTCCGTACGTCCGTCCGTCCGTCCGTACGTCCGTACGTCCGTCCGTCCGTCCGTCCGTGTACACAACACAGGAATCCCGCTTGATGTCAAAGCAAAACTACTCACAAATAGCACAAAATGCGGCTCTCAAGTGCACAGAAAAAAATCGCTTTAGGACAAGTTATAGACCAAAAACAATTTTAAAAATACTTTCATGTAGTCAAAGGTGGATCAAGAAGTGTTTTTCAAGAATTCCATTCAGTTGTGTCTTTTTTAGCAAACAATCGTATATTATAATATTTTTGACAAGCATTTCTCTCGACAAATCGGACAAATCAAAGACTTTCTCTCAAAACTTTTTATATTTCTATAGATAAGCTTGATTTTATTTTAATGCTGGAGGAAATATAACACGAAGAGCATATTACAACAGATATTCGTCCTTTATTTAGCTTTTTTAAATCTTTAACAATTCGGTTGTTTTTAACCAACTATCATATGTTTTTCGTTCAAGAAAAATGCAGCTTTGTTTGTCTCCTATTGCGGGGTCTCATCGGCAAAACAAAGAAGACTTTCATTCAATAATTTTATATCTTTCTACAGGTAATTTATTTAATTCTTGAATGAAATATATATATTCACAGCAAACATTCAACTGTTTATTAAGCTGTTCGAGCAAGTATGATTATAAAAATGAGCTTAAATTTGTGTTGTTGA